GTTAGACAGCTGGGGTTTTCTCATTTCTTCCTCTCTCTACCTCTCTACCCCTCTCTCTATCTCTCTTCCTGTCTTTCTTATTTTCACACCCCTCCTGTTCATGGCCTCCCGCTGCCTGCTTTTGCTCTCTCGCTCTGTTCATTCTGTTTATTCATGTCTCCCTCTCGTCTTCATGCTTCTTTCTTTCTGTTTCTTTCTTTCTCTCTCTTTCTCTGGGTCTGTCTGCTTGCTGCCATTTCTGTGTGCCTGATAGGGCGTTCCTCTGATAGGAACTGAGTGAACTATAGAAAACCTGCTGCTTTTGCGTCATAGAGAACATACACAGCCATTTCTCAGGTCAATGTGCATATTGCTTTCTTTTAATTGAACGATTCAGGCTCCACCCTCCAAATCCACCAGTCCTTCAAAGCAGCTGTCTCTAGGTTGGACAAACTTTACAGCATGTTGGCAAAAATCTGATTTAACCTAATGTGAATCTGTAGCGCCCAACTCTTGGTCAAAATGCCTACAATTAGAGTGCATTAGTAAATTCAAATGGTGTTTATTTTGTTAGAATAGATTAGATGTAATGTTGTGCAATCAAGCTAAAGTTAGCAAGGTGCTTAATTTGCTTAATGTTGTGTTGTTGTTTCCAGCCTGCCTGCCTCCTAACACCATAGTTCAGCACTGTAGATTAGCTTTGTGTATAGTTTGGATATACAGGGTGATTCAGAAAGATTCATCCGATTTCAAAATGATTTATTCGACTTTTAAATCGTTACAGAACAGTGCAGTAAACTGTGAATGGTTTAATTGAGCATAGAATTTATTATGTAATTTTACAAGGGCTCAGTATGAACCTCCTCCAGCTGTACGGACAGCATCAACGCCATAGTCCAATTCATCCCCTACTCGATTGAGCATGTTGGCTGTCGCTGCACTCACGGCTCTTTCAATGCGATTTCGGAGATCATCCAGTGCTGTGGAACCCAACGACGAACACTCTGAGCTGTTGGAGCTTCACTGCCCACGAAAATCACGTGGCACCGTATTGACGGATTCACCCTTATTGAAGTGGAGAACGCAGAACGCTTTCTGCTCAGGGGTCGCATCTCCTCTCAGACTGAAGGGAGCCATCTTCCGGTGACAGTCAGAAACTCTATGACCCCCTCTTTCAATTAGATTGTGATTGGTTCCTATAGGCGCCCCAGGGTTGTAAAATATGGCGCTTTGACATCAGTCTTTTTGAATCGCTCTGTATTGTGTAAAAGAGGAACTATGTACGGTTTGTTGCTGGGTTGAATCGGATTTTTGACAACGTTCTGTAAAGCTTGTCCAATCTGGCAACGGTTGCTATGAAAGAACACATTTGTAGGTGGAGCACTGGTACTTCACTTGGCATACTGGGAATACTGATCAGGTAAGGTTTGCTTCGGACTGTGGTGGAGAACGGGGGGAATAGGGTATAACCCTGTGGTGAGAATGAGACACAGAGAAGAGAGGTGGTGGTGAATCTGTTGCTCAGGGACTTCTGCTCTCAGTAATGGAGTAGATGGATATTGGAGTGCTGAAGACGGGATAACTGTGTGTGTGTGAGCTCTAATGGAAGAAGGAAGGACCTTCGCAGATTGGAATCTCTGGCGTAGTTGTGGATGAGCAGCTCTCTCTCTCTCTCTCTCTCTCTCTCTCTCTCTCCCTCTCTCTCTCTCTCTCTAGCATGCATGATGCTTTGTGTCTACACGCTCTGCATTGTGTACCATCGCTGTTTGCTGTTGTCGCTTTTCAGAGTCTGTCAGAGGTCTACGATGTGCCGTGTTGGTGAAACAAATACGTTGCGTCCATGAGCAATGTCGGGGAGCCAAGCACCGAAAAGCACACAAAATATTTAGCAACAAGAAAACTTGTTGTCATCACCTCAGAGCAATGATGGATAAATTAGGAAGAGTTGGCATGTCGGTATTGATGAGTATTGGTATTGGGCAGCAGAAAACGCTGGATCGGATATCAGATGGAAAAAAGAGTGTGAATCCGGTCCGATCCTGTAACAAATGTAGCCTGAAATAGCGCACGCTCGCTTTGTGTGATGTAATGTTATTAGCTGAATATTTCTTCCTGTGAATAGAACAGAAGAGTATTTGGGTAGATTGAGTAGATCAGAGGTGGTCCTGGATATCTAGCACCGTGCATAGTTTAGCTGCAACCCAAATCTAACACACCTGATCCAGGTAATCAAGGCCTCCAGGGACATCGGAATATTACAGCCAAGTGTGCTGGCTCTGAATTTTCCAGAGAGTTGGATCTCCAGGACCAGGATCGAGCACCACCGGCCTAGATCAGGGTTTCTCAACCTGTGTGCCGGGGACCACCATTGCAAGCCACAAGAGCATTTTCAGTGAAAATGCGATGGCCTGCAGCTCCAAATCACAGTCCACATCTACATCTACCTTTTTTTCTTTTCCCCCTTTTTTTGACATCGTTTTTTTTTTTTTACATAACTGCAAAATCTGGTTTCTGTGAACTAAAATGGATGATTCGCACGTTTTCTGTGTGAGCAGTTAAGAAAAAAAGCATTTTTAAAAAGTTGATTTTAGTTTTTCTGTGGGCTGCTGTGCTTTATGGTTATAAACAGGTGGGCCTTGGGGTGGAAAAGGTTGAGAACTCCTGGTCTAGATGATCGTCAGTGAAGTGGCTCAATTGAAAACTGCTCATTTTAAACCATTTTAAGGCTTAATAAAAAAAGAAAAACATTGGATTTGTACTGATATTGGACACTCAAGGTTTCACTAATGCTACATCTCAGCTGAATGACAGTATTATAACAACAGAATAGCATAGATAGCCATAAAAAGACTGGAAGTCTGAGTCTCCAGCTAAAAGTAGTCTCAGCCAATGTGTTCCATGGTCATTTTTTGTGTTTGATTGTAGTTAGTCTGTGTGTTGGGATGCTACTGCTAGCCATTCTTCACTTGCTGCTCTCAAGAGTTTGGAGGGAAACTTTCAAACGTGTCCTCACTTGTTACAGTTGTTAGTCGTACAAGAGATTTTGTGTGATGCGGCGATAACGGCAAGGTTTATGCGGTCAGCCCCCGTTGCTGTGGTGCAGCAGGTGAAAACTTGCACGGTAAAATACAGGCAGGCGGTGGGTGGTGGCTGCGGTTAAGCGTTTAGTGCTTAGCTATTAGCACCATAATAGTGTTCTCAGACTAATAACAGTGCGCTGGTTCTGACGGGCAGTTACCTGAAATTACCACCCAAAACAGAACTCCAGACTTGTGTATGTTGGTTAGCAGTCAAATCGGTTAATGAATTAAATCTGTGAGCTCTTTACTTTGTGTTCTGACTAAGGTTTCAGCCTTTTCTCCTGTTCGCTTCCCTTCATTCTTTCTTCAGAACTAGAATTGCCTCTTCTGTTTCAGCAGCCAGTTCTTTTCCTCTCTCACACAAACTTCAGACAAGCCCGTACACATACCTTACCAGTCCCATGATTCTGGTTAGCTTTTGTGTGTGTGTTTTTGTTTGTTTTCATACACTTTCCGGACAAAATGTCCTGATTGTGTGTTGTGCTTTTAACAAAAGCTTTTTAACCTACAAGGGAAATATATATGTAATATAATATAAATATATATAATATATATATTTATGTGTGTGTGTGTATATATTCACACAAATAAGGGGAAAAAATAATTATTTAAATTATTTAATTACTTAAATTACTCATGGTTGTAATGTGTATTGAGTGTGGTTAGATACCAATAGAATACCAAAATTTGGTACAACCACTTGGAAAGGGTTCTGTATAACATTGCCTTTCAGTCGGTAGAGCAGTAACTATATGGAGGATATCTTTTGGAGTGTTTGTCAACTTCACAGTTTTATGGTGCTGCAGTAAAAACGATGGAGACGAGATGAACAGAGTGTAAACCATATTAGATAAAACACAGCAAGTTTTCTTTTGGAGAATAATTTCCTGTCAGAAATATAACACAGTATGTCATATCGCAATCTTCAGCATAGCACATATGTTGTGGCTGAAGCATCTTGGCATCACATCATGGGGCCTCTAGTAATTCCCATCCCAATTATATATTTTCATGGCTTATTCTGATTCCTTTTTTTTTTTTTACAGAAAAATTTGTCACACGGTGTGGGATAAATGAACAAACTAGCACATTTCCAGAACTTTCTCTTGGCCAAAATTGCAACATTAACGTTGTTTGCTCATTAATGGGCCAAAGTGGCATTTTAAATTAAACCAATAATGAGTTGCCTATTAAAATAACATGAGTCAAATAAAGCGCTATGTTAAAAGTAAGAGGCAACTTGCAATTTAGCACATGATGCTTTGTGTCCACACGCTCCGCTTTGTGTACCATCACTGTTTGCTGTTGTCACTTTTCAGAGTCTGTCAGAGGTCTAAAGTGTAGTGAAACTACATTGCGTCCACAAGCAATGTCGGGGGCCAAGCACTGAAAAGCACAAAAAATATTCAGCAGCAAAAAAAAAACTTGCTGTCATCCCGACAGAGCAAAGACGGATAAAATAAGAAGAGTTGGCATGATATTAATGAGTGTTAGTGTTGGGCAGCAGAAGACGCTGGATTGGATATCAGATGGAAAAATACATCGTGTCCACAAGCAATGTCGGGGGGCCAAGCACCAAAGAGGACAGAAAATATTTGTATAAATGTATAATTATGCTACAACTTTTTGATTTAGGTGTTGAAACATTCAGGTACAGCACAGGTGCACTTACCTGTTTCATGTTATTTATGTAATTGAAATTCCAACACAAATCACACCAATTCAAAAGAACAAATTGGCCCATTGCTGATTGCATGTCTGGAGCAAAAATCAAACCATTCCAATTATGCAAAAATAATAGAAAAATATATCGACAAATATATATTGTTGCTGTTGGAATAAAATCATAAAAGCCGACTGTTGCTTTTTTGAAAGATGTTTTAAGTTATAAACAAGTTTGAACATGTATTGTTCACTGCCCAGTTTACACTGTACATATAT